TGGTGCGAGAATCACTCGAGAGCCAGAAAATTAAGGGGGTAAAATTTTAGAAAGATATTCACCATCTAAGGTTTCAAATCCAGCTTCCATGTACCGGTGCATGACATTTTTAATGGGAGACTACGCAACTTGGGAACCAGATAACATTTCAACTTTTTTACAGACCAAAGTGCAAAGCAGTGAAAATCCTTGGCAGGCAAACGTTCGACGGGCAGAACTGCGCAAAACGCATGATGGCACCGGCTACCCCTGGTGCGTGCTGCTATTTATTTAGAAGTACCAAAGCGGGGGAGGGGGCGGAGGGAAGAGACGGAGGGAGCGGGGGAAAGGGGGAGAGGGTGGGAGTGTGGAAGCGGGTATCATCCCGATTTGTAGGAGAAGTGGGCAGTTGATCCAGACGCTATCATTTTTTCCCGCAGTTCGTACTGCCACAATGAGTAATCAAATTAGTTTCGACGTTATGAATGTTGCAAGTTTGCCTGGGATTGAAATCGTTGATCGATTGGGCCATCCGGCTGATCCGGAGAGCATGCGTTCAGATAACGTTGCACCATCTGAAAAAACCTCACGTGGGAAAAAGCATGAAATAAACCAGTTTCAGTGAAAGCCAGATGTTCTGGATGCGCACGGAACGCGGATAAGGCAACTATGCTGGCCTAAAACAGTTAAAAATCAATTTATTCGGAGATCTGGGTGTGCTGTTCTATGTCCACATGTCCTGGCTCAGTCACACCAGTACTGCTTTTTCTATTTGTTCTTATCAGGTGCCCATCATCCAGTAAGGGAAAATGATGAAGTGTATGAGTTCGGCCGCACAGCCCAGTTAGTTGGTTTGCCTATTCTTGGGATCTCTTTTCTGGATAAAGTGCTGTTGCGCCAGTGCTCCTCGGACGACGCAGCGCACATGCGTGTCGAAACTGAGTGCAGATTATGCCAATATATATACCTCTTTGGTGTTGTTCAAATCCTCTTGCATTTTGTCTATTGCTGCCTCGATTAAACTGTTGACATTATTGAGTGCTTGGGTTTGCTCCGCATTCCTTGGCGTGTTTACGACCACTTCCACCGCCCTACAACGGTTCAACAAGCGGCTCGCTGTTGCACTGATATCATCTCGGTCACCTGCATCACTTACTTCGTTAAAGTTCTTTTTTGAGTGGTCTAGTTCAAGTAGAGATGGTGGCACCACCCCGAGGCTGTCGATAAGTGACCCAGATAGTGACACAGCACGCTTATCAGTGCGGTCATGCGTTTCTATGCTAAGCTTGAGGCAGTCAGAATCGTTAACAGTATGAAAGGTAGTTGCTTTACAGTTCAAAATGTGCACTCGTTTTGGCAGTGCTTTGGTCCTTTCCTGCGCGTAAAGGGAAAAGAAAGTCGGCTGGGACGGCAGTGTTGAATCATGGGGCAGCACGAAATCTTAATCTTCAGCACCTATAATTACCGCAACTTTTGCATGGAGGAGAATGGAGGACCCTAGGCTGAAGCGTACCAGGCTTGCCGGTGCAATCATGCGTTTTTGCACTAAACTTGAAGCAATCAAGTCGTTAACTGTATGAGCGATTGCTGCTTTTCATCTACTTTGTGGCTCACTAGCATAAATCATCGCAAGTTTTGCATACAAGGAGATGAACAATTTCCGTTTAACAGTCGTTCTTTGACAGTGACTTGGCTGTTCGTTGAGCAGTCTTCCCGCCAAAACTTTTAAATACCTGTACGTGAGAACCGCGTATACCTGGGGAATGAGTCTAAAATTTTTAAGCTGTATTTGGACAGGGAACGTTCCTTCAAAATTTCAGTTTTTCAGCTTTTTTGTCAGATGAATTGGCAATTTCCCCATCAAAACCTTCATGTGCCCGTACATGAGTGCCACACGTACCTGGGGGCTGAATTTTTAGACGGGGAACACCCCCTTAAAATTTAAGCTTTCCGGCTTTTCTGGTTCCCGAGTTAGCAACCTGCCCACCACAAGTTTCATATGTTCGCACGCGGGCTTAGACGTGCGTGAGGGTTGATACTGCGGCCCTAAGGTGGCATTTGGCCGTAGAGTCCACTGGCAGAATTTCGGTGCCGAAGCTTGCTTGGTTGCCAGATTTAAATACCCGGACAGACGCACACACCTACACA